CAAGAAAAAATTTCTAGTTTCTAGAAAAAATTTTCTGAAAACAAGAAAAATTTCTTAAATCAAAGAAGTTTTTCTCAAATATAGAAATAGTCGCCATAAACTAAAATCGCCCTAAAATCAAGAAAACTTTTCTATAATTAAGGCAAATTATGACTTATTTTCAGGAAATATTTTCTTAATAATAGAAAGGCTCACCATAAAATTTACTAACCCTAAAAAATAGAAAACTGTTTCTACAATATAGAAATCCTTTTCTTAAAAAGATACTAACCCTAAAAAATAGAAAACTGTTTCTACAATATAGAAATTTCTTTCTAAAAAAGTTACTAACCCTAAAAAATAGAAAACTGTTTCTACAATATAGAAATTTCTTTCTAAAAAAGTTACTAACCCTAAAAAATAGAAAACTGTTTCTACAATATAGAAATCCTTTTCTAAAAATGCACGGTGTTACCCTTTAATTTAAGTAACCCTAGAAAATAGAAATATTTTGTTTAATATAGAATTTTTTTTATATTTTATCTCTGTCCGTGGTCGGCACCCAATACATTGATATGATTTTAACGCATTAGTATTAGTATAGCAGAAAGCAGAAAGTAGGCTCTAAGCATGACGCGTCATGACGTTTCACACACTTATACTGTGTGTGTGGCAGAGCACGGGCAGATAAATGCAGACTGATCTATATTATATTTTATGTATAAAGTTTTAACATGTTAAATACAAAAAATCATGTTAAGAAATAATGTAACGATATTTAAACTATCTCTAAGATGTTGACATTACAAGTTTATTAAAAAGTTTATTTAAAAAGTGCTAATTGATTCCTTGCTGAAAAAGATAAACTGAGAAGCCTTTTCTTTTTTTTCGCTGGTAAGTTACTAAAAACGTTACTAATTTCATAAGTAATTTAATTTAATTACTAATTAAATTAATCTAGAGCTAATTGTGGAAAGACATGATAGATCTTAACATCGGAAAAAAGCCAGAAGGTCTGCTGCATATGGCAAAATTTATCATTTGAAGGCTAAGGAGAAAAAGTTATCAACTGGTAAATTACGCCCCACTTCAAAGGTTAAAAATAATTTCCCAAATACATTTTTAGGTAATATGGCTGATGTTCAATAGTGAAGAGGTGAAGCTTAACGCAAAATTTGATCTTACTTTTGAGTGGCGCAAAAGTTTCTTTTTCTAGGACGATACAAGTGTAGCTACACTTAGCTTAGGAGGAATTGCCCATTCTTAAGCAGAGTTGTGAAGACAAATTGGTAATATTTTTTATACATTAATTTTGTTTTATTTAATGCATTTATTGAATAAATTCTTAGATTGTGGCAATTTTTTCTCTCATTTCGTTAAAAGGAAGTCCAGAGTTTTATCGTACTAAAAACATTCCCTCAACAAAGCGAAGGTAAAAAGGCAATAATTACACTACCTTAAAAGATGTTTTAAAACATTCACAATTAAATAGTATATTAATATATTTATATCGCAATATTAATTGACGTTATTTTCCACAGATAAAAAGGACGCACATGATTCACGCTATTCTAGTCCCCACCAAAAGGGGAAAACATGGTGCTACTGGAATTTTAAAAGTCAAGTATACAATTCAAGATTCGAGGGTCAAATTTATTATATACCATAAATAAAATGTTCTGTGAAAGTAAGAACTGAAGAGAGCTATCAAAGAAAACAAATGTAAATGTAAAAATAATGTAAAAATATGTAAATGTATGATGTAATATGTAATGTAAAATGTAGAAATAAAATTTCTAGAATTTAGAAAAGGTCACCTTTAATTTAAGAAATATTTGTATATATTGTAGAAAGGGTTATCTTAATTTTAGGGCGCCTTGCCCTGGGGCTTAGAAAAAATCGCCATAAAATCAAGACATTTTTTCCTTAGTTTTAGAAAAGTACTTTCTAAAACCTAGAAAAACAAACCCTAAATTTAAGAAATTTTTTTCTATTTTTTAGAAATTTTTTTCTTATTTTTAGGGAAATTGGCCGTAGATTTTAGAAAGGAAACGCCATTAATTTTAGAAAAATTTACCCTAAATTTAAGAAATTTTTTTCTATTTTTTAGAAATTTTTTTCTTATTTTTAGGGCAATTTTCCTTATATTTTAGAAAGGAAATGCCATTAATTTTAGAAAAATTTACCCTAAATTTTATGGTGCGGTGCCGTTGAAGACAAAAATAGGGCGAATTTCTAAATCTTAGGGTTAATTTTTTTTTGAGTGTGGTAAAACTTCCAATCGAATCGATTCAGCCACCAAGGCCCCCTTCCTGCCCGCCATCTGCTTACCCTAACGCATCAATAAACGCGGTGCACAAAAATAAACGCCAACAAACTTGCAGGTGAACTTCGCTGGCGGAGCTCCCACTCCCAGTCTCCTCTTCTCGTTTAAAATTAGCAGGCGACAAACTGTTGATTCTGCCAGGGAATAAATATCTGAGGGGGTAGTATCTGCATACTATATCGAGCGAGACCCTATCATCTCAGTTGCCACACAAAAGCCTAACCAGCTCCCGGGCCATGGATTCATTCAACTTTACGCTAATGTCACATGCTTTGATTACTGCGCCGTGAAATTTTATTGATTGGCCAGCCAGCGTCACATGAGCGATGGAAACCAGTTTCGAAGTCTTCAACTGAGTCGACAAACTCATCCAATCCACCTCCGTATCCAGAGCACCTGGCCAAAAGGATCGGATTGAGTGCACTTGCTGATTCTGATGCGACTTTGAAAGTGCAGTTGCTAAGTGAGAGTCTGAAAGGTTTTTTCACTTTGTGACGTCCATTGAAAATTGTATTTTCATTTTGCGAAAGTGATTTCAAGAGCTAAAGATCTTTAATTAATAAAAAGTATTAACATTTTTTTTTAATAATAAAACTTTGTCTCAATAATTTTATATATTAATTTTAAAATAGTTTTCAATTTTATTCTTTTTTTCAGGACTCGGATTATTGAATCGTTTATTGCTAAAACAGCAACTTGTAGAGGATTAAAGTTTTTTTCAGTAAAAGTCAAAAGATTTTATTATCCACATGCCACAATCAATGGGATATAATTTATATGCCTCGCCGCCTCTTATTTCTTCCGTAAGACCAAGCGTTCAATTTCACTTACGATGTCCTTCACACCGAGTGCAGATACAAACCCTGCACTAAAAGAAGTCCACTTCACTGTTTAACAATAATATTTCGTAATATCTATTTAACTTCTATTGAATTTTAATTTTAAGCACTGTTTATTGTAATTAGTTTCTTCTTTAATTGGCCTTAAATAAACCCTAATGTGTATGAAGATACTATTATTTTTCAACAAGTGTATGCTTGATATGTCTGATATTTGCGCCAGAGGAGCATATTAACCGTGGCTGGCCGTCCGTTCCGGCCATGAGCTGTATGTTGTGTATGCTCAAGTGAGAGTCCGGAGCCGGGGAAGTGGATGTGTCCTGCATGGGAGGTAGTTTTTATCTACAGCCCCGCTGACAGCTGGAGATTTGGCTCTTCCTCCGGCCCTGTTCCCCACTGATTGCTTACAATGTGCCTGCTCGCTTGGCTCCACCCATAGCCCGCCATCCACACGCCCCAGACCAGCGTCCTCATTTCAGTTTTTTACAAAAAAATGCGAAAATCCCTGTTGGAGCAAGCGTTGTCGTCGGCGCATCGTCATCGCTGCTAAAATTGAATTGGAATTGCTTCAGCTTCAATGGCAGGCAAACGACAGGCAATCTGTTGAGTCTCCTCTGATTGAATGAGAAGCACAGGAACAAGGTCGCCAAAGGAGCAGGAGCAGAAGGCGGGAGTCGGGAGTCGGCTGTGGGTGTGGATGTGGATGGGAGTCGGAGAAAAGCGTAACGAATGCGCGTAATGCGCTTGGATGGATGAATCCCGGCCCACTCACTGAATACGAGTGCGATTTAATGGTAATATGTTGTGCGACAAGCTCCATCGTCATTATCTGCCATTTCTGTTAAATCGACGAAGACCTTTGATTCGTAGAAACCTTTAAAATCGACATGGCCTTGCAAAGGCTGTGAAAAGAGGGGGCCAAAACAATAATATTTACAAAAGTGAAAAATGTTTACGATTTCCATTAGGAACGAGAAGTTAAAAATAGAAAATGCTGAAAAAAACAACTTTATTTGGTTGTTGAAATGTCAAATATACTTAGCGTATACGTGATATTTTGTATTGTAACTTTAATTAAGATGTAAGGGCTTATTATAATTTTTTCTAAGCAAGCATATTTTTAGAAATTGAAAATTATCTTTGTGTGAGATTGTTTCAAATAGTTATATTATATATATTTTTGTTATTCAGTTTTTATTAGCTTGTAGTTACTGTAGTTCCATTAGCATTGGCTGTTCAAAACGTAACAAATATAACACCAAAACGATGCGGTGAAAATGTTAATAATTAGTGCAATTACGATAAAAAGGCTGCAAACATCTTGGCCATGTGTCGATAAGCAGTTACCAAATAAAGGCAAGAAAAGAGATAATGCTAACAAATGTACGAACACGCGAATGCGGTGAAAGAGGTGTTATAATTTCGCTCTTGGTCTTTCTAAGCAATGCGAAAAATCTGGCAAATTCAACCTGTGGGGGCGGGTGGGCGAATCAATTTAGTAAACAAAAAAACAAAGATGCAGGGAAAACGGCTAATTGACCGCTCTCACATTCAAAATTGTGGCCAAGGCGTTTATCAACACGGTTTTCGCTCTTGGCTGATAGATCAGGCCCAACCAGGGTAGTCAACGTAAAAGTTTCATTCATAGTATTTTCATATATATACTGTTATAGCTCATCGCTAACATATTTAAAACTTAAAATATGTGTAACAGTTTTCTTTTTAAAAACTTCTTTATTACAATCAATATAAAATTCTTTAATATTATATTTTCTTCCAAAGAACTTATTTACCATTAAATCATGACAACCCTGCTTCGCTCTTGCGCCGCCGCTCTCGCTCTCGCAACCAGACCTCACAGCTGACCCACTAACAACAATCGCTGTCGTCACCAGAAGTATTTTGGTGTTGTTGCTGGTTGCATTTTATTTATCTTGCAAAACTAAAAAGAGATCAAACAAACGGTGGGAAAACATTCCGCGACAACGCAACAATTTGCAGCCAAGCAGCACGTGTGCCACTGTGCCAAAATTAGCAACGGGACTAGAGCGGGAGGAACACTTTTCGTGCGAGTGACGTGCTTGACATTGAACAACATTCGCGCGGGCCTCAGTGAAATAAGCAAAAATAAAACGAGGAAGCGCCAATAAAACCAATACCAACGAAAGGCGTCAGCCGTATCAGCTGTTGGCCAAGTGCGTGCGGGTGAAAAAATTCATTATTAATTGTGCCACAGGCGAAGCCACAGCCCACTGATTCCTCGCCAGTTTTCCACATTCCCTCCCCAGTTGAGTTGAATTTCCAGTGCAGCGATACTAGTAGCACCAGCACGAGCAGCAGCAGCAGCAGGGGCAGCGGTAGCAGCAGCAATCTGAACTGGAAATTGCAGGCAATTGAGCGAGCATTTACTCAAATCGCTGTTGTGTAATCACTTGTAAAAGATGAGCGCTCCTCCCAAGAAACAGAGCTCCAATGCCATCAAATTTCTGTTTGGTGGCCTATCCGGAATGGGTGCCACGTTAGTGGTTCAGCCCCTGGATTTGGTAAGTTTCTCATTTCCGAAATGTGTGTGAAACTTGACTTCAAATTTCTCTCTCTGGATAGGTGAAAACCCGCATGCAGATCTCGGGAGCTGGCAGTGGAAAGAAAGAGTTCCGGAACTCCTTCCATTGCATCCAGACGATCATTGGCAAGGAGGGACCCCTGGCTCTCTACCAGGGAATCGGAGCGGCATTGTTGCGACAGGCCACCTACACCACCGGTAGGTTGGGCATGTACACGTACCTGAATGATCAGTTCGTGGAGCGATTCAAGCACAATCCCGGAGTTCTTCACAGTATGGCCATGGGAACGATAGCCGGAGCTTGTGGTGCCTTCATCGGTACGCCCGCTGAGGTGGCGCTTATCCGCATGACCTCCGATGGTCGCCTGCCGGTGGCGGAGAGGAGAAACTACACCAACGTGCTCAATGCGTTGACCAGAATTACGTCGGAGGAAGGAATCACGGCTCTCTGGAGGGGCAGCTTGCCCACCGTGGGCCGTGCCATGGTGGTGAACATGACTCAGTTGGCCAGTTACTCGCAGTTCAAGGCCTACTTCCGGGATGGACCTCTTAAAATGCAGGAGGGCATCAAACTGCACTTCTGTGCCAGTATGTTGAGCGGTCTTCTGACCACCATGACGTCCATGCCATTGGACATTGCCAAAACTCGCATCCAGAACATGAAGACTATTGATGGCAAAGCAGAATACCGGGGTACTCTGGATGTGCTGTTTAGGGTGGCTCGCCAGGAGGGCATCTTCGCGCTGTGGAAGGGATTCACACCCTACTACTGCCGGCTGGGCCCGCACACTGTGCTGACCTTCATTCTGCTGGAGCAGCTCAACCAGGGCTATAACAAATACGTTATTAACAGCCAAAAAGCCACCGGCCTGTAGAATGAACGGCCAGACGAAGAGAGATAACCGAAGCGTGTATATAACGTTAAGTTTAAAGTGTAAACCAACATAGGGCATTTAAATGTCGGCAATTCCGGAGACAATATTACGATATAACGACAATTAGCTTGGAAGTTTAATGAAAGTTTTGTAGCGCCATAATAATGGATTCTCAATAAAGCACAACATGTTAACGAAAGTGTCTAAACTTTTCAACTATTATGGGTTGATAATTTGATTCATATTGTCATTCTCCCCTTGACTTTAGCCCGCTATCTTTTTTTCAAAGTCATAAGCAGACTTCTATTTCGGTCGCCGGGCTGGCTTGTCATGTGTGTGGAGTGGGTGGTGGGTGTTGGCACATATGTTGTTATTGCACTTTAATTATTCCGAGCCCGTGTGTCAAGCAAACAACGCCCCACTCTCTGCTGGAATCACATATGTAGCTTCTGTTTACTAATTCCCCTGATAAACTTATCGCAGCTCAGCCCGAGCGGTGCCCAATGTTTGCCAGTGCAAAGTATAAATCCCAACGATAAACTCCGGCACTAAAGATTGCAAACATATTCGTAGTTTTCGCTTTCATTGATAAGGGAAATCGCCTGATAACCTTTGTTCGAGTCTTAGTCAATTAACAGTCGGCCCATAAAGTTTTCTATCATGTTTTGATTGTCAGTGCGACTGTTGTATATCTTTGTTTTCCGAGTTGTTCATTTATTGAATGCCCTTTATGACTGACGATAATTGAATAATTTGATAGAACCAGCAAATTGGCCAAAGGAACGCAAACCGAAAGGCCACAAAAACTTAATTTGAATTTCTCTGGCTGCTTCTGTGGTTGTTGGAGAATTTTTATTTATTACAAACTGACCATAAAAATCCTCGCGAAAATTTATTTAAAAAGTTTTTTATTATGCCATAAGTTTGTTAACTGAAGCGTTACAGTATTCGTGTGGCGGAAGTGGGCCGCTCTGAGGGGGTAATAATAAGCGAGAATTACCCGAAAGCCAACAGCATGAACCCCATATTAAATATATTTTATAGGGCCTTGGCAGAACGGTCGGTGCCTTGGCTGGAGTTTTCAGATTACCGAATAGTATTTGGGTAATAAAATATTTTCAGCTCGGTCTGCATTTAACCTCATCGCCGCATCTCACTGAATTTTTCCCCTCCAGCTGGTGCGACAAATCAAAAGTTTATCTCGTAAATAAATGAACAAAATCTAACTTGACCACAGGGTATGGGCCTTGTATTAAAAACTTGCACTTGCTTATGAAAAGCCTCCGACTTGGAGACTCTTTTTCTGTCCTTACTTTACTGGAAAAGTTTAAGCTGACTCCTGCCTAAGATGCTGCGGGATATTAGTTATCCTTTGGCCCGGATACTTAAGGGTAATTAAAGGCAGCCGGAGGGTGCGTCCTCTAATTGGCTTCGTTAGTGGGAAAAAGTACTTGCTTTGAGGCACATTTGAATGGTGCCATTTACGGAGAAGGAATAATATCGATTTTCGGGATTCAATTGGAATTCGGAAATTTAGATAATTTGTAGCGTATGATCGAAGCCAAATTGGATTTCCTTTGACAACTATTTAACTGGCAATTGAGCCTCCATTTAACTTTGGGTTATGCTCTTACCGCAAATGTCAACGCCTATTTTACATTCAGTTTTTAATTAACACTCAAAACATCGGCCCACCACCGGGGAAAATACAGATAAAACGAAAAAGAGACGCCCGGCCGTGTAAATGTAATTAATTCAATGTCCCACACGACCAACCAAGCCAATTCATCCATGGCCTTTCCAACCGCCCATGCAGGCACACAGTCCACCCACTTCCGCCCATCCATACATTCAAACAAACTTCAATTAGGGCCAAATAAAACGACTATCTTTGCCTTTGGCCAGTGGCAGTTGGCTCTGATTTTCGGGAAATTCTTTTCCGCGGCCACAGCTGCTACCATTTTGAATACCCTGTAGGCGCTTCTCTAAAACGATTTATTGGAAAAACATTTACATTAAATTCGCGAATTAATTATTTGAAAGCGTAAGCTGTTCTGTGCCTTTTGTTCTTTAAGAGGCTTGCCAAATTCTGTGAAATGCAAACAACAATTAATTATACAAATTATTTTGAAATAGGAACCGAATATAAAGCCTCTTGATATTTTCACGTTCTTGGATGTGGCCACGAGGCGTATGCGTGATTTCGTGAAAGAAGCTGTGTGGTTTCTATTCAGAATTTATAAATACCTGACTTTAGTATATGGATGTATCTTTGATTTGCAAAAAAAAAACTGAAAATATATATGTAAGTAAAAAGCACCAGACTGAGACATTACTGGATAACAAAATCAAGTCACATTTCAGCAAATACCCGTTTTATTTTTCGAAATTTGGTCCGATTGATTTTGGTATTAATGCGTTTTGGGCGCCCCCAAGGCAGCTCCCTATCGATCGGCATTATGCCAGAGGGGGTCTCGGAGTCGACTGGACTGGATGAGGCAATGGAATTGGATTTGGGATCGGGAACAGCTAGGCCGATGTGGAAAAAAGCCTCAGTGGACGGATGGCTAACCCCCCGTTCGCCCACGGTCATGGCTCATAATTCAGCGTTTTCAGTTAACTGGTTGGCTGTCCGATTTGCTGGCTGGTTTAGTTGGGTCTGGTTTGGTGGCTTGGCTTTGCCGACCAAGCTCTGAGTGGTTTGCCGGCCATTTGGTGCTCGTATTGTTTTTCGTGCTGCTCTTTATGTTACGCTAATTGCAATACGATGCTGCGTGGAGTGGCACGCCCGCCCCGAAGCGTCAAACTAATTGCTTTTGCAAAACATTTGAAACGCGCAACTTTTTCAATTTATCTGTTTAGCGATGCTGCCTGTCCTTAGCTTGTTGCGACTATTTACAATGTCCTCTAAAGTGTACTGTTGCATGGTCGCAAATTCATCATAAGCAAGGACAATAGCAATGCACTTTATTTAGATCCTGTTGGAAAAAAATGTGGCGCTTTAAAGACGAGCACTTGTACTTCCAAGTACCAGAATACGGGTCTTTTGAAAAGAATATCTTGTAAATAGTTTTGAGATTCATATTTTTTTGAAACAATTTATCCCGGGTCACTGTTTATCTGTGTGCATAGCATTGGCGGAGAAAGGGAGAGGCGGGAAAAAACAGCAACGCCGCCAGCGGAAACGGAAATGCAGAACAACTGCTCGCTGTGTTGTGTTCGTTCGCTGTTTCAATATTTTTTCCCTTGGCTGTTGCCTGTCGCCGCCAACCCGAATTTCCTTTGCAACTTCCGTTTTCCCATTAGGCGTGTACATAAAAACGTTGAACCAGCGCTCGAGACTTACCCAACTAGAAAACAGACAAGTAGCGCTCATCGCACACACAAAACTTTGCTGCCGGTTGAAAGTTTTTAAATTGATTAGTTTGTAGCCATCCCAGCGAGGATTTGAGGCATCGGGCGGTATCCCCTGAAAGACCAAGTATAAGCGAAACTGCATCCACTCGACATTAGCCAAGTGGCTGCATTTCAATTAGCCGGGCCCTGGCAAACATGCTTATAAGGGGATCTGCGGCGGGCCGAAGTTTGGACAACAAAGTTTGCCGAGACTCTTAGCTCCTTGTCTGCTCAATTGAATGCATTCGCGGTGATTTAGGGATTTTCTAAAAATTACAGTGGATTACGACTGATTTTGTAGTCCTGAGTGGACTTAACAAGCACTTTAAAACCTTGTCCAGTAAAAGCAAACCCTACTGTCCTCCAAAAGTGTTACTTAACAAGTTCCAATTTCCTTAAGGACCACCTTTCTAACCCCTTGCTTGGATAATTCTTGAGTGGGATCCGAGCCCCAAAGATTGAATAATCTAGGTGGGGAAGTGTGCAAATTTGTTTGTTCCTTCAACTTTATCAAGTATCCGCCCCGTTTGCAAGTTTTTCACAGGATTCTCCAGGATGTCTTTTGTTTTGATGTACCCTGTTATTTGTGGTGAATTTTTTTTTCAATTCCTGGGGTTTCCGCTGCGTTTCTACGAGTTCCCTTCAGTTATTTAGTGAAAATTGTCATTTGTCAGCAGGGCGTCTCCGGCTGGGCCACGCCCCCCGAAGCTGGTAACCCAGAAACCTCAAAATATCAAAAAAGGGGAGAAAAATGGAGGAAACTTCCAGCCAACTTTTCTATTGACTGGCAAAAAGTTTCCAACATGCTCAGCTTTTATTAATGTGCTCTCAAGACCGTGCACACTCGTATTTATCTAAAAATCCCAGTTACTTCAACCAATCCCCCTTTCATTCTTTTTTTTTCTGCACGCCCCGGCCAACTTTCTCTTGTTCCAACTTTCGCTTTGATTTTGCACTCTGGCTTTGTAAATTGGCTCACGGAAAGTTGCAGATGAATCGTGGTCGGCGGCAGGAGCAGGACGAGGGCGCCAATTCGCCCCCCTCACATTCGAAAGTAATTTTTAATTCAGTTTTTTTCCTCGCTTGATTCCATTTAACAGACTCGCTTATGTAGAATGCATTTTAATTTATTTAATTGAATTCAATTTGTTACAAATTGCCAACGAGTCGCGCACATTTTTGTCCCGCGGATTTATTGAAGCATAAAATTTAAGACTTGTAATTTAGTGTGGAAATGGAGAGTTTTACGACAGGATAGGGGCGGCAGGATAAAAGTGGGCGTACTCCGGGAGTGAGACTGGGAAGACGGAAAGCGACAACTACCAGTGTCAATGTCGATGTTGGGCTTGCGGCTCATCAGGATCCCTGGGCTGTTGTTGTTGTTTGCTGGCACAGGACATGTTCTGAACGTGTGAATGCCGCTGAAGGCCAACTGCAGCCGCGGGGGGCCTCAACAGGGCAACACGACTCATGTATCCTGCCCGCCGCCCGCTGCTCGTGCCTCTGCCTTTTGGCCAACTTGAATGAGCCCGTAATTTGTACTTGCATTCATGAACAGCAGTCAGTTCTCCATTTCTTCTTTGACTCTGCATTGACAGAAAATGTTTTTAAAACCAGATTGAGAATAATAAATAAAGAATATCCTTGAGCCCAACGAAAAATGGACACCGAAATGGGCTCGTTCAATTTTTTTGGCCTATAAAGGACATTTAGAAACTCTTTGAGTTTAAAGTTTAATCTAGAAGATTTAAGGAGCAAGCAATTGTTATGAAAGATGATTTTCCAATACTTATTGTCCTTAAA